ACAGAGGCCGCTGTGTCCCCATAGGGTAAGGTGACCAGACGTCCCAATTTTTAACAATTTGCCCCGAGTCCCGCGGCACTTTAAAAAAGTCCTGATTTTCGGAAAGATTCTTTCGGAACTGTTTTTAAAACGCCGCGGGACGTGGGACAGATTGTTAAAAATTGGGACTGTCCCGCCAAAAGCAGGACGTCCGGTCACCTTACTGTAGGGTGTGACATATCGGATACAGACAGGGGAGAGAAGCTGGAAGAGGGGCCAGGAGTGACATGACCTGAGGGAGAACCTGGCCCCGGGAGTCCTGGGCTGCCAGGTGCGGTTTCAGCTCTGCTTTCATGGCACGTTATCAGGGGACACTTCAGAAGAAGCCACTGCCTGGCCCTCTCCGGCTCTTTGAAATGGGATCTCCGAGGGTGGGGCTGTGGTAGAACGTTCTGGTGGAATGAAATCCGCTGTCTGTGGGCTGCGTATCTCGGGCTTTTCTTCCGATTCCGATTCCGAACATCTGTGAGGGGAGGTGGCCGCTGGGCGCCCCTGCAAGACGGATTTGCACTGTAATCACAGGAGGAATGTCTGCTCTTATCCACAGGCATCTGTTCTGGAATGCGGGCGATAGCTGAAGTATGAAGACAAGGGTTGTTTTGACTTAGGAATGTTTGTACATTCTTGTTTTAGTGTTTGCTCTCTAGAAGTAGACCATAAACTTGCTAATTGAATGTGCCCTTAGGGGAAAGGTAGAGCCTCCCCCCCCCCCCCCTTTCTCTCTGGTGTCCTTGTCCTCCCTCGCCCTTCCCTTCCCTTTTCCCTCCGAAGTGTCACGTGGTTGTGGGAGTGCAGTGAGCTTTCCTCTGTCATGGGGGAAGAGGGTGATGCTGAGGGGTGGGATCAGGAGGTGCAGAGCTAGGAAGTGGTGGGAGGGTCTGGAGGTTGGTTACAGGTTGAGTAGGAGTAAACAAGTACACTGATTGAGAAAATATGTACGAATGTTCACATATACACAAATCCATCCATCCATCCATCATCCACCCATCCTATCCATCACCCATCCATCGATCCATCCATCCATCTGTCATCATCCATCCATTCATCCATCCATTATCCATCTATCCATCCATCATCTATCCATTCACTCATTCATCAATCCACCCATGCATCATCCATCTAGCCATCCATTTTATCCATCACCCGTCCATAGATCCATCCATCCATTATCCATCTATCCATCTAACATCCATCCATCCATTATCCATCTATCCATCCATCATCCATCCATCCATCATCCATCCATCCATCCATCCACCCATGCATCATCCATCTATCCATCCATCCTATCCATCACCTGTCCATCATCCATCCATCCATCCATCCACCCATGTATCATCCATCTATCCATCCATCCTATCCATTACCTGTCCATCATCCATCCATCCATCCATCATCCATCCATCCATCCATCCATCATCCATCTATCTATCCATCCATCCATCATCCATCCATCCATCATCCATCTATATACCCACCCATTATCCACCTATATATCCACCCATCATCTATCCATCCATCTGTCCGACCATCCCTTGAGGGTAATGAGAGCCAGACTAGACCTGTGCCTGTTGGGAACGGTGTATAGAACCTATTGATGAGTAGCTTTGGCCATTACAGGGAAGGGGTCCTGGGGTTCGCTGTTGGTGTGAACAGCTGAAGAGAAGAACATCTTCTGGATTCTAGCAGGAGCTTCTCTGAGACCTTTGGGACCTAGGACTCAGATTCAGGTGTGAGCACAGCCTCAGTGGTGGCCTGGCCTGTGGCTCGCTTGGGACTGGCGTCACTGGAGCTCTGGAAAGCGTTGCTGTGAGATGGAGGACATGCCAGCCTCTTCCTCCCGGTGGAATAGGCGAGTGGAACTCAGGGGGCAAGCGGAGGGCTATTGTCCTGCTCCCTTTTGTGAAGGTGGACAGTACTTTCCCTCCTCCTCCTCCTCCCCCTCCGCACATTCAGAACAAAGCACACACGAAGGCTCGCCCTGCTATGCACATACTCCCCTTACGCTCCGAGTCAGATCTCTGACTTGTAGTGCCAGTGGCTACTCGATGAGTCAGTTTACCATACTCTTGTGACACGGCAGAATAGAAAATATCAACTTGAAGGAGCACACAGTGGCTTAAGAAAATGGAGTGTATCGTTGGTAAGTCTAAGTGCAAATTGATATAAAAATAAATGAGCTGCTGGGTCACTATTGTTTCGATTCCCGACAGGAGGTCTCACCTGGTCCTGCAGTTCCTTACCTGCCTACATCGGGAATGGAACTGTGGACGTCACCGGCCTGGAGGCTGCGGCCAGGCGGCCTTTCTGTTCCCAGAGAGAGGAGGATCCGAGAGAGAGGAAGGTTCTAGAGAGAGGAGGGCTGGGGCTATGCACACTCAGGTTTTCTTCCCGGCAGAAATGTGGGCACATTTACCTCTTTGAAGCCCAGAGGACCTTCAAGGAAGAAACCCATCGCAGCAAGGGCAGATGTCAGAGCGAAGGACACACCTCCTGGGGGTTCAGAATTAGAGATCACACGTCTGAAACAGTGGCATGTGGGGATGGCCCAGGTCAGCGGTTGGCAAACTGCGGCTCGAGGGCCACATGTGGCTCTTTGACCCCTTGAGTGTGGCTCGTCCACAAAATACCACGGCCTGGGCGAGTCTATTTTGAAGAAGTGGCGTTAGAAGTTTAAGTTTAAAAAAAATGTGGCTCTCCAAAGAAATGTCAATCGTCGTCCTGTTGGTATTTGGCTCTTGTTTGTTGACGAGTGAGTTTGCCCAGCACTGGCCCGGGTTCTTCCACTGTTTGCTTTTTTCGATTGAGGACGTTGTGCGGCCTGGGCCCTTTCCCGACCTGCAGAGCCATATTGGTGCATCATTACTGTTGCCGTGGGACAAACCACCCTCCAAAAATGAACGGCTTAAGATAGCAACCGTTTATTTTTGCCCAATTCTTTGGGATAGCAACTAAGGCTGAGGCCAGCCGGCGTGTCTTCTGCTGATGTCAGCTGGCATCACGCCTGTGGCTGTAGGCCACTGCCTGGGCCCCGGACCGGAGGTGGGGGAAGGGAGGAGGGACTTAGAACGGCCTGGGCCTCCTGAGGGTAGTGAGGCTGTGCAGTCCAGGGCACCCCGGCTTTCGACTGGACGTCGCCAGCAGGTTCGCACAAGCTCATTCCCATCATGGCTCCCAGCTGCCCAAATACTTCTCAGGCCTCTGGTTGCGTCTTGTCCCTTTGGCTTGGTGCAGCCAAAGGGACAAGTGCAGCGGGGAGGGGGAGGATAGAACCTGCTGCCTCTGAGGGGAAGAGGGCAGTCCTGTCCCCAGGACTCTGCACGCCAGTGGAAGGTCTGTCGGGTGTCTTTGCAAACCTTTCCCAGCAGGCCCAGCCCCGCGGCGAGAGCATGTCGCTAAGGCTCTGCTCGGTGGCCGCACAGCAGGCGGCTGCATCATGGTCGGGCACCGTGGTCCCTGGTCGCCGCGCTGTTTCCGCAGCAGAATGATTGCAGGGATGCTGTGGGCTGCGCCGTCTGTTCTGTGAGTGGGGAAGGCCAGTCACCCAGTGAAGGAATCTTTACGGGACCTCGGGAGTGGTCCGCCTTTCTGGGTGACAGGGAAGGGCTGGGCCAGGTGGTGGCGGCGGCGGAGCGCACACCTGGGCGGGGTGGCCGTCGGCGCTGGGCTGAGCGGCGGGTGTCCCCACAGGCGTGCGAGCCAGGCAGGTTCTGATCCTCTGACCCGGGAGTCAGCCCGGCTGGCGTTAGTGTTCAGGGCAACCTCACACTGTTTGTTCTGCTGACAGCAAACAAACATTGATGTTGACTTCTGTATTCAAGAAACTACCTGCAAAGGTAAATCCGTGTCCTTTTCCTGCTAAGGAAGGCTGATCTTTCCACCAGCAGATATTAAAGGAATAGCTGACCCTGTGTTTCCATGTTACCCGTGTCACTAAGGCCAGTGAATCCGTTTGGAGCTGCTCAGTCAGTTGCTCAGTTTCTAGCTTGCCCAGATCGGTTGGAGGGTGCAGAAACAGTCTTTAAAAAGTCTTATCTAAATAGAATAAGTTAGGGAAGTTGGAGTCTCATTTCTTGTCGGGCCAGATTGATTGGGTCCCAATGATAGAATGCCAGGAATTAATGTGAAACATTGCCTGGGAACTGGGAGGTGTTTTTTTTTTTTTAATTAATTTTTTTAAAAATTGATTTCAGAAAGGAAGGAAGAGGGGGAGAGAGAAACATCCATGATGAGAGAGAATCATGGATCAGCTGCCTTCTGCAGGCCCCACACTGGGGATGGAGCCCTCAACTGGGGCAAGTGCCCTGACCTTCTGGTTCCTAGGCCGACCCTCAACCCCTGAGCCACGCCGGCCGGGCCCAATTTAAATTGACGGTAAAAGTCCTGTCCTTCGGAAAGTACATTCTGGTGTAGCAGCACGTTAGAGGTCAGAGAAAACTGGTTGCTGCCCGAGGGATAACTGTGCTGAGCCCGTTGCAGAGACTGGCAGGCTTGGGTAAGGGCCGTGCAGGCCCGGCCCCGTGGGTAGGAATGGCTGCGGTGAGAGGAGGAGGCCAGAGAGTAGGGAGGGGAACACCGGCTCTCGCTGGAATCGGGGAATGCGCAGGCCTTGCCCGCACTTCACAGTGGTCGGTGACTTAATGTTTGGCACGGGCTCCGGACGGCTCTGAGCCAGGATCCCGAATTAACCCAGAGGTTCTGAAAAGTACTTTCCGCGGACAAACCCACACTTTCCATGGATCAGCAAAAGGAACACGCACGGCGGACTCTCTGTCTTCAGAAATGGAACGTTTTCTCGCAAAACAGAAAATGAATGGCCCAGTGAACTAGCGTGGTTGTTTTTTTTTTTTTTTTTTAATTTTATTTTTTAAAGGATAAATCCTTTTTATAAAGGACTTTAACGAGGTTAAAATCCATGCTGTGTATGCACTCATGCTCTGTTTGTCCCCCTCCTTTCACAGACCTACATTGGGAGTGTGGTCATCTCCGTGAACCCGTACCGCTCTCTGCCCATCTACTCCCCGGAGAAAGTGGAAGATTACAGGAACAGGAACTTCTACGAGCTGAGCCCGCACATGTGAGTATGGCAGTCTGCGCGTTGCTTTCCTTGCGCTCCGGAGATGGCAGCTGACAGATGTGTCCAGCTGTTCCCTGCATGTCCCGGGAAATGCTTTAGTCTTTTTTTTTTTTTTTTAAATGGGATGGAGGAATGCACAAGTGCATTGTCATGCCTTATTTTAAATTTAAAGAGGCAGAGTGCTTCCTTTGGCGCCAGGCTCTGCGAGTTCTGAAATGTTTGGGCTCCGTATGGAAAACATCTCTCCGCAAACAGTTCTGTGTGAGCAGCAGCTGCTGCTAATTATTTTTGCAAACAAGGCGGGAATGTGCGTGGCTTGTGATCACAAGGAGCCCGGGCGGCGTCTCCTACTCCCGATGAAGAAGGAGCCCCCAGGGTTGGGGTGTGTGACGGTGTGTGAAGACTCATGTGATACCTGCCGTTGGTCCTCTTTACGGACGCCGCTCACGAGGCACCGAGTGCATTAGGCCCGCGTGTTCATCGCCCCTGAGCTCAGCCACTGGTTTGATTTTCCCTTTTGAAGGTCACTTGTTAGTACAAATAATTCCTGCAGATAATCATGCACAGTTGTTGCATTAGGGCCACGGTTGAGGAACCCTGGACTGAGAAGGGAAAAGTCTTTCCAGACGCTGGGTTGTGTCTTAGCAAAGAATAATTTTCTCTGTCCAAGGTGGACCCTACTCATCTTGCTAGAAAATAAAATCTAGTAATGAGAGAACACATAAACCTCTGTCCGGGTGTTGATGTAGTTTCTCCTCACAGCACAGCGTGCGGTGACATTTTGGGGCTACTGGGAACACCAACGTCAAATAGTCCGTGAAAATGGTTATTAAGACGACCCAACCGCCCTGTTTTCTACCAGTCATGGGGATTCTGCTTGGTCAGTCCACTCCCAGAAGCAGGCTTTGCTAGTGATGGTTGTTCGTTCTGCTTTACCAAAAACAAAAATCTGAAATTTGTATTATAAAGTCACCCCTGTGCTTGAGCCCCTTCAGTGAAATCCTTTATTCGATGCCTGCATGTCTATTTTAAGTTCTAGGCCTTGGCGTTTCTCAAAGTCAGAAGCGTGGCTCAGCCGTGTCAGAATCCTGAGGAGCTGATGAAAAGCCCAGCTTCCTCGGCCTTCCCACCACCAAGCCAGGAATCTAGATTTTTCCACAGGCTTTCCTGGACATTCTTATGTGCACACACGTATGAGAACATGTCCTACATGGATGCTGACACAGGGTTTCCCTTCCTTCGCTGTGTGCTACGTATGGTGACCTTTTACGATAACAGTGATGGTGCCTTGCACTTCCTGAGCATGTCCTGTGTGCAGGTACAGCACGGGGCATCATAGTTCATGTGATTCTTGAAATAACCCCGTGGGGTGGGTATTACAGCAAATTGGGAAATTGTCCCGGGAAGACAAGCGATTTTATCTGGAGCCACCCAGCTCGTGGGTGGGGAGCTGGGGCATGAACAGGTCACCTGCCGTGCCTCTCGGCTGGGAGCGGGTCCCCCATGCTCACGGCCGGGCCTCGTGCTGTGCACTTCCCTCCCACTGCCTCCGGTTGCCCAGGCTCCAAGGGTAAACTTAGCTGTGCCTCGGTTTACCTCCAGGACGGCACTGCCATTTCACTTATAGCCTGATTCCCCACTTGGGGGGTGTTAGATAGACAATAGGTTTCTATTCTAGAACATGGACGTGCACGCCCTTTTTATCCCCATTCCTGGATGGTCCCTCTCAGAGGCTGCGTGGCTCACCCCTCGCCCCCAGGGAAACACCCCAAGCAGCAGTACAACAAGCTCTCAGCGTTTCGGATAAAGACAGAGCTTCACTGTGGCCTGTGAAACACTGCAGGGCACGGGGGCCAGTTTTACCTGATGGGTCTGAGTTTGTGAGGCTCACGTCCCAGCCGCCCCCAGCCACCACCCTGGGTCCTTTCAGCCCCCACACTCCTGTCCCACCTTCCCTGCTGATCTGTGCCTGCTGCCTGGAACGCCTTCGCCCTCCCTTCTCCTCAAGGCAGCTCAGGTATTCCCCCTTCAGACCTCAGATTGCGCCAGACCTCCTCAGGGAAGAGCTGTTCCTCACCCTGTCTCTGCCAAGGTCATATCCAAGGTCACATCTGTTGCTCTTGTTACAATTAAAATTTAACATTTTCCCCGCTTTTTTTTTGGAAAGTGTTGCGTCGTCCCCCCCCCCCCCCCGCCTTTAAAAAAAATAGGAAGAGAGAGAGAGAGAGAGAGAGAAATATCAGTGATAAGAGGGAATCACTGATCGGCTGCCTCCTACCCCGCCTCTGGGAATCAAGCCCGCAACTCGGGCATGTGCTCGACCAAGAAGCGAACCATGACCTCCTGGTTCATAGGTCGACGCTCAACTACTGAGCCACACTACTCAGGCATAATTTAACATTTCTTCATGGGATTATTTGATTATGCCAGCTTCCCCTGCCATGCTAGCACAATAGTCTGAGCACCTGGAAACCAAAATATATTGACCAGGACTACAGCCGAGTCCCAGCTTTTCCATTTATAAGCTCTGTAATCTGAGCGGATCACATGGAACAAACTTTAACTCAGAAATGAAGTATTATAATTGGCTCTGTTCGATGGGGAAGTAATGACTAACCTGCAGGATCTGTGTGAGGGAGAAACATCTAATAGACATTTACACGCAAGGACTACCTGGTGTCACTGGGTGGCGTGCCCAGAGGAACGAGGGCCCCAGGGGGTGGCCTGACAGACGCTCTTGGCCTTTCTAACTGGAATGAGTGTCTGTCCAGTGTGATTTTTAAATCCTTTGCACATAAGAAACTTTTGGTCTGACCAGTTTGGCTCAGTGGACAGAGCATCAGCCTGCGGACTGTAGAGTCCCAGGTTCGATTCCGGTTAAGGACATGTACCTTGGTTGCATGCTCATCCCCGATAGGGAATATGCAGGAGGCAGCAGATCGATGTTTCTAACTTTCTTTTTTTTAAAATATATTTTATTGATTTTTTACAAAGAGGAAGGGAGAGAGATAGAGAGCTAGAAATGTCAATGAGAGAGAAACATCGACCAGCTGCCTCTTGCACACCCCCTACCGGGGATGTGCCCACAACCAAGGTACATGCCCTTGACCGGAATCGAACCTGGGACCTTTCAGTCCGCAGACCGATGCTCTACCACTGAGCCAAACTGGTTTCGGCTGATGTTTCTAACTTTCTATCCCTCTCCCTCCCTCTCTGTAAAAAAAGTCAATTTACATATATAAGTATATATAATTTTTTTTTAAAGAAATTCTTTTATAAATCTCAAGAGGACTTAGTACATTTCAGACAACTCAGAAACTGCATCCAGGAAGAACGGTTTCTGGGAGAGAATGATAGGCGGGAGACGAGGAAAATGATTGCACTACATAACCTTCCTCAGCTTCGTGAGCACAACAAGATGACAAACACTTGGGGTGTTTTTGTTACTAAATGCACTGATCTCTGGCTGGGGGACTGCCTTTGGACCCGGTCACGCCAGGTGTAGTTTGTCACCTATAGGCAGGTCATGCTGCTTCCCTCCCCAGGAGCCGTCATGAGCTCCCTCTGACCAGTTGAGTGAGCTCCAGGTTGCTGGGCCTTCGCAGTCCCCCTAGGCTCTCCTTTCCACCCTAAACACCATGGCGCTCCTTCACGGAGCCTCCTGTGGAGGCACAGCAGCCCATGTCTTCCCTCCTGGCCCCCCACCTGCCCATCTCCACCGCTGACGGCCTGCCCACCCCCTGAGTCTGTCTCCAAGGCTAGGTCAGCCCTCGCCCAATCCACCCGCGCCTTTTCCTGCCTTTGAGTTATCAGAGCCGCTCATATGATCATACCCACTACCTTTCTCACTGCGCGGCCCATGGGGTCCAGTGTCATCTCTTCCACGAGGCAGAAGCTTCTGTAGATCCGAGACTTGATCCTGTGCGTCTCTTTTTGAGCTCAATCACTACAGGACAAAAGGCGTGCTAACGAGTTTCCCGTTACGTATGACTGGTATTATCTTAGACAAGTCGATGGAATCAAACTACTCTAGCAGGTCATTTGCTGAGTTTATTCAAAACTTAGTGCAGTGTGAGGAGAATTCTTTCTCATCTATAATAATAAAAGCATAATATGCTAATTAGACTAGGTGTCCTTCTGGACGACCTTCTGGATGAATCTGGTAGCCAGAGGGAAGCTTGGGTCCCAGGTGCCAGAGGGGAAGCCAGTGCCAGCAGCCGGGGAAGGAAGGCCTAGACTTGCATGAATTTTGTGCACCAGGTTTCTAGCTTTTATAATAAAGTGAGCTAAGATATTATGTTATGGTGCTCTTTCACACTGAGCGTTCAGGTTTAATGTATTTATTCTTGATGTAGAGCACTTAACCGTCTGATTATGCGAAGCATTTGGTGGAGGGAACTCGCCACTGGAAGGAAGAGGGGTGGCCTGGTCCCCAGCCAGGAGCAGGCAGGCGTGTGTCCTAGCATCAGGCTGGATGCCGTCACATCGCAAGCACAATTGGTCTCCATTTTGGAAAATGAAACACCCTGCAAACAAATCGTAAGAACTGAGAAAAATGGCTTCAGGCTTTGAAAAAGCTCTGGCCGCAGTTTCCTGAAAGGGAAAGCCATTAACGGGAGGATTTGGACAGCACCCACGTCGGTTGTCCAGACATCAGCGCTCTGTCTCCAGGGAGCCTCTGCCCCTGATTTTGTGCCAAAGTGATTTTGCAGGGCCATGCGCTGCTGGCCACGGGACGATGCTGCGAGAGGGCTTGTGCGTTTGAGACCTTGTTTGTCCCGATCTCATTTTACTCCATAAAGGAAGACCAGAGCAATGTCACGGAGAAGGGATAGTCGTTACATCTCAGCATGCACAGGGGCTGCGGTTGGGTGTGGGGGCTGAGGCTAAGGGTCCGTGGTTGCCCCTTTGGTGCTATGAGAATTTTCCCTACAGCAAAGCTCACGTTTCAGTGAGTAAAGTTTTATTTACTTTGAGAACTGTTACAACAGCTAGATCCC